GTGGAAACCTCCTGGCGAAATTATTCACTGAATTGGAAAATATAAAATTGCAAAATAAAATAAACGACTGCTTTGTTTGACGAAATTTTGTTTTATACGTGTAATGTCTTTTGAAACACAAGCCAGATAGAAATAAACAAACATAATGGATTTTTAAAGCATTTCCAGAGACATAAAATTATAGAACATTTTCAAATATTTCAAAAAGCTTGCTCAATTTATTCCTTTCATCAGGCCCTGACTACAGGTATTAATTCTGCCAATGATAGCAATAGAAACCGTGAAGAAAATATGAACTATCAAATGTGAGAAAACAGGCTATATAGAAAGAAAAAAAAATGATGAAGGCATGTGCATCAGAATGGGGACGTCAGAACCAAGTAGGTAAAGAAATTGAACAAACGACGTAAAAGGTCAGAAAGAAATTCGGTACATCAGAATTCACACTGATACCAAATGATGCCGAATGATACCGAATGATGCCGAATAATACCAAATGATACCAAAACATGCCAAATGATACATAACTATGCCGAATGATACCGAGTGATATCAAATAATACATAACTATGCCGAATGATACCGAATGATGCCAAATGATACATAAATAACTATGCCGAATGATACCGAATGATGGCAAATGATACATAACTATGTCGAATGATACCGAATGATACCGAATGATGCCGAATGATACCGAATGATGCCAAATGATACATAACTATGCCGAAGGATACCGAATGATGTCAAATGTCATAACTATGCCGAATGATACCGAATGATAGCTATAGAAACGAGGCAATATTTTAGATAAAATAAGAATAAAAAGCGCTGTGTTCTGTGATATTTATCTTTATTTATGCCAGTGAATACTGGACAATTTCTTCACAGATGGATTGCAGAGCAATAATAAAAATAAGAACAAGACGATATTCGTAATGATGGGCAGTGGAACGAGAACAGTCTGCCTCGAAGAAAAAATAAAGTTGGTTGGCTGATGCCTTATCTACGGCTTATCCACCTTTTACAGGTTATGTAAAAGCAGAAAATATTTCAGATTTTTTTAGATAATTATCTTTTAGTGATACGATTCTTACGAATGGAGAGAATAAGTGGATCCATACCTTTCGCAAGCGTATTTGTGTGTAAACTTCATAGCAGTAGACCTCTATCTGGGAACGAAATCTAGCTTATTTTCTAATAGCCTGCGGAATATTAAAAGGCCATTTCAGTGAAAATCGAAAAAAAAAGATACCCTTTAATATAAATGTTTTATTTGTTGTTTAATTTAGTGACCTTTTACATCAATACACATCCGGCAAGAAAACGCGACACTTTCAAATTGAGATTTTATTGATTTTTATTTTTCATACGAAAATATTTAATTGCACGACGCAACATTATATCGAACTCTTCTTAATACACATAACACTGTTCATAAATGTTAACAGTCGCATTAAACAAATTTTAAAAACAAAGGTACATTTGGAATAACAATATATATAATAGACGTTGTAATGATAAAAGTACACAGGAGTAGGATTTAAGAAAACTTTAATCAACTGAGAATACAAGATTCAAATATAGTGTTGCAGACCCCGGCAGCGTGCAGTGCTGGTTTATTACTAAGTGGCCTTGTGCCAGACACCACACTAAACTACCGAGTCTACAAGCAATGTAAAAAAAAATAAATATGAGCGTGAATGAACAGTGAGAGGAAAGGGGTCAATCAACAAGTGCATAAAATAAAATATATTAAGATAGCCGACACAGAATGACAGAACAAAGACTGGATTCAAACAAGAGTAATTTTTATTAAATGCCGGAAAAACAAGTAACTTCTCCCGTAGTAGGGATCAATGAATATGTTCCGCGCCAAAAATAGAAATAAGATGGCTAAAGGCGGGAAAGGTTCTTGAAGAAGAAAGGTTTCAGTAAGTCAATGTACATGATAATATTCATACAAGGAAAAATACTCACTGCGAGTTTTTAGGTAATGTGAGTGAATGTTATGTACACATTTTTTTTTTCTTTTTGTGTACTCTGGTCCAAAACAGATTTAAAGTGGACGTCGAATTAATATTTTGTATGTTCTGCATCGTCTCGGAGAAGGACTTTGAATGACGAGTCACAAAGGGCCGAAAAGTTAATTATTTGGTATATCATCATCTCGGAGAAGGATTTTTTTGAATGACGAGCCAAAGGGACGCAGAATTAATTATTTGGTGTTTTTATTGGTTACCTGTTGCATACAAGTTTCTGCCGACGACTGTGTCGTGTCTCTAACGTCTTCTGGTCGAAAACGGAGAAGGTCTGATCTGCGATTAGCAAGTTGTTCGTCAATAGGATATCCCTGTCTGTATTTATTGGTTCGCTGACGAGGGATAAAAATAAGCCATTATTAGTTGAATACGAAGTTTCTGCCGACGACTGTGTCGTGTCTCTAACGTCTTCTGGTCGAAAACGGAGAAGGTCTGACCTGCGATTAGCAAGTTGTTCGTCAGTAGGATATCCTGTCTGTATTTATTGGTTCGCTGACGAGGGATAAAAATAAGCCATTATTAGTTGAATACGAAGTTTCTGCCGACGACTGTGTCGTGTCTCTAACGTCTTCTGGTCGAAAACGGAGAGGTCTGATCTGCGATTAGCAAGTTGTTCGTCAGTAGGATATCCCTGTCTGTATTTATTGGTTCGCTGACGAGGGATAAAAATAAGCCATTATTAGTTGAATACGAAGTTTCTGCCGACGACTGTGTCGTGTCTCTAACGTCTTCTGGTCGAAAACGGAGAAGGTCTGACCTGCGATTAGCAAGTTGTTCGTCAGTAGGATATCCCTGTCTGTATTTATTGGTTCGCTGACGAGGGATAAAAATAAGCCATTATTAGTTGAATACGAAGTTTCTGCCGACGACTGTGTCGTGTCTCTAACGTCTTCTGGTCGAAAACGGAAAGGTCTGATCTGCGATTAGCAAGTTGTTCGTCAGTAGGATATCCCTGTCTGTATTTATTGGTTCGCTGACGAGGGATAAAAATAAGCCATTATTAGTTGAATACGAAGTTTCTGCCGACGACTGTGTCGTGTCTCTAACGTCTTCTGGTCGAAAACGGAGAAGGTCTGATCTGCGATTAGCAAGTTGTTCGTCAGTAGGATATCCCTGTCTGTATTTATTGGTTCGCTGACGAGGGATAAAAATAAGCCATTATTAGTTGAATACGAAGTTTCTGCCGACGACTGTGTCGTGTCTCTAACGTCTTCTGGTCGAAAACGGAGAAGGTCTGATCTGCGATTAGCAAGTTGTTCGTCAGTAGGATATCCCTGTCTGTATTTATTGGTTCGCTGACGAGGGATAAAAATAAGCCATTATTAGTTGAATACGAAGTTTCTGCCGACGACTGTGTCGTGTCTCTAACGTCTTCTGGTCGAAAACGGAGAAGGTCTGACCTGCGATTAGCAAGTTGTTCGTCAGTAGGATATCCCTGTCTGTATTTATTGGTTCACTGACGAGGGATAAAAATACGCCATTGTTGAAATAAGATATTCCGGCCCGCATATGGGTTAAGGGCACGGAATAAATGAGTTGCCCATCTAGTCGGGTCGAAAGTCGAGAGGCAACTGGCTTGCAAACGCTGGCCGTTTTAGACGCCGCGAAACGCGCGGGAAAAAATTCAAAATCTATCATGAGTTCATCAGCAGGAGCCAACGAGTTTACTGCTATATTTAGCTGTGAGTGAAAGGTAGGGGTGAGAAACGGCGCGCACCCACGCACGAGTGTGAAACGAAGGGAGGAAACTCGCGCGCGCGTAAAATATAAATGGAATTAATGTGTTAATTCCATAATAGTGTACTTTTATAATCCCTGTAAATAGAAATAGCTTTCCCAAAGAGGAGAGTAACAAAACAAAGGGAGATCACTCTTGATTATTCATAACAGGCGCCTGTTATTTAAAATTTTCAAAGAATAATTAGCTTTGAAAATAAACTTGTTTTGTCATTGTATTTTGATTAGTGATATTAGATTTGTTTAAGGCGACCCTTTAATGGGGAAAGTTGAAAGAAGTTAAAATATCAGAAAAGGTATAATTTCTTTACATTTATTTCTGTTTACTGTTTGTATTGCTTTTTGTCATTTTTTATTTTGCATGGTTTGTTTATTTTCTTTAAAATTTTGTACCAAATTGTGTATTTTTTTTTCTCCTGTCTGATTTCTTTCTTCTTTTTAGAGTTTCGGCAGATTTTCAGTTTTTATCGTTGGCTGTCTTTATTTCGTTTTTTTCTTCTCTCTTCATTACTTGTCATACTCTTTCTTTCTCTCTTTTCTCTAATTACAGTGTAACCCGGATATAAGAGAAACCCGGATATAAGAGACTCGGATATTAGAGAAACCCGGATATTAGAGAGATTTTCTCTGGTCCCAAATTAGAGCATGGCGTTAATGTATATAAAATAAATTAAACCCGGATATCAGAGAAACCCGGATATAAGAGACCTGGATATAAGAGAAACCCGGATATAAGAGAGATTTTCTCTGGTCCCAAATTAGAGCATGGCGTTAATGTATATAAAATAAACTAAACCCGGATATAAGAGAAACCCGGATATAAGAGACTCAGATATAAGAGAGACCCGGATATAAGAGAGATTTTCTCTGGTCCAAAATTAGAGCCTGGCGTTAATGTATATACAGTGTAACCCGGATATAAGAGAAACCCGGATATAAAAGACTCGGATATAAGAGAAACCCGGATATAAGAGAAATCCGGATATAAGAGAGATTTTCTCTGGTCTCAAATTAGAGCCTGGCGTTAATGTATATAAAATAGACTAAACCCGGATATAAGAGAAACCCGGATATAAGAGAAACCCGGATATAAGAGACTTCTTCTCCGGTCCCGACATCTCTCTTATATCCGGGTTACACTGTATCTTTCTGTCTTTTCGCTGCTATATATATCTCTTATTTCTTTTTTTCTGTTTTGTGGCCATTTTCTCATTGTATCAGGTTCTTTCTTTCTTTCCATCATTTACTCCTTTCTTCATTTCTGCCAGGTTTTTTTTTTCTTTCCTTCTTTTTTCTTTCCTTTTTTTCTTTTTCTTTTCTTGTATTTCTTTCAGGTTTTCTTTGTTGTTATTTTTCTTTTCTTCACTTTCTTTCTTTATTTTTTTGTCTTTTTCTCGCGTTATCTTTTTTCTTTCTTTTTTTGTCATTGTCTCTTTCGGTCTTTTTGCTGCTTACCTATACCTTGTATATTTTTCTATGCTTTGTAACCGTTTTCTTTCTTTCGTTCCATCATTTACTTCTTTCTTCATTCCTGCAATGTTTTTCTTTTTTCATTTTTTTCTTCTCGTTCTGTATTTCTCTCACAATTTATTGTCATTTTCCTGTTTTTGTTTTCGTCACTTTTTGTTCTTTCTTTATTCTTTCTTTCTTTCTCTCTTTCTCTTATTATCTTTCTTTGTTCTTTCTTTCTTTCTCTCTTTCTCTTATTATCTTTCTTTGTTCTTTCTTTCTTTCTTTCTCTCTTTCTCTTATTATCTTTCTTTATTCTTTCTTTCTTTCTCTCTTTCTCTTATTATCTTTCTTTGTTCTTTCTTTCTTTCTCTCTTTCTCTTATTATCTTTCTTTGTTCTTTCTTTCTTTCTCTCTTTCTCTTATTATCTTTCTTTATTCTTTCTTTCTTTCTCTCTTTCTCTTATTATCTTTCTTTGTTCTTTCTTTCTTTATTTCTCTCTTTCTCTTATTATCTTTCTTTATTCTTTCTTTCTTTCTTTCTCTCTTTCTCTTATTATCTTTCTTTGTTCTTTCTTTCATTCTCTCTTTCTCTTATTATCTTTCTTTATTCTTTCTTTCTTTCTCTCTTTCTCTTATTATCTTTCTTTATTCTTTCTTTCTTTCTCTCTCTCTTATTATCATTCTTTATTCTTTCTTTCTTTCTCTCTTTCTCTTATTATCTTTCTTTGTTCTTTCTTTCTTTCTCTCTTTCTCTTATTATCTTTCTTTATTCTTTCTTTCTTTCTCTCTCTTATTATCTTTCTTTATTCTTTCTTTCTTTCTTTCTCTCTTTCTCTTATTATCTTTCTTTGTTCTTTCTTTCTCTCTTTATCTTATTATCTTTCTTTGTTCTTTCTTTCTTTCTTTCTCTCTTTCTCTTATTATCTTTCTTTGTTCTTTCTTTCTCTCTTTCTCTTATTATCTTTCTTTGTTCTTTCTTTCTCTTTTTCTCTTATTATCTTTCTTTATTCTTTCTTTCTTTCTTTCTCTCTTTCTCTTATTATCTTTCTTTGTTCTTTCTTTCTTTCTCTCTTTCTCTTATTATCTTTCTTTATTCTTTCTTTCTCTCTTTTCTCTTATTATCTTTCTTTTATTCTTTCTTTCTTTCTTTCTCTTTTCTCTTATTATCTTTCTTTTGTTCTTTCTTTCTTTCTCTTTTCTCTTATTATCTTTCTTTGTTCTTTCTTTCTTTCTCTCTTTCTCTTATTATCTTTCTTTGTTCTTTCTTTCTCTCTTTCTTATTATCTTTCTTTGTTCTTTCTTTCTTTCTTCTTTCTCTCTTTCTCTTATTATTTTCTTTGTTCTTTCTTTCTTTCTCTCTTTCTCTTATTATCTTTCTTTGTTCTTTCTTTCTTTCTCTTTCTCTTATTATCTTTCTTTGTTCTTTCTTTCTTTCTCTCTTTCTCTTATTATCTTTCTTTATTCTTTCTTTCTTTCTCTCTTTCTCTTATTATCTTTCTTTATTCTTTCTTTCTTTCTTTCTCTCTTTCTCTTATTATCTTTCTTTGTTCTTTCTTTCTTTCTCTCTTTCTCTTATTATCTTTCTTTATTCTTTCTTTCTTTCTCTCTTTCTCTTATTATCTTTCTTTGTTCTTTCTTTCTCTCTTTCTCTTATTATCTTTCTTTGTTCTTTTTTCTTTCTCTCTTTCTCTTATTATCTTTCTTTGTTCTTTCTTTCTTTCTCTCTTTCTCTTATTATCTTTCTTTATTCTTTCTTTCTTTCTCTCTTTCTCTTATTATCTTTCTTTGTTCTTTCTTTCTTTCTCTCTCTTTCTCTTATTATCTTTCTTTTATTCTTTCTTTCTTTCTCTCTTTCTCTTATTATCTTTCTTTGTTCTTTCTTTCTTTCTCTCTTTCTCTTATTATCTTTCTTTATTCTTTCTTTCTTTCTTTCTCTCTTTCTCTTATTATCTTTCTTTGTTCTTTCTTTCTTTCTCTCTTTCTCTTATTATCTTTCTTTGTTCTTTCTTTCTTTCTCTCTTTCTCTTATTCTCTTTCTTTGTTCTTTCTTTCTTTCTCTCTTTCTCTTATTATCTTTCTTTGTTCTTTCTTTCTCTCTTTCTCTTATTATCTTTCTTTGTTCTTTCTTTCTCTCTTTCTCTTATTATCTTTCTTTATTCTTTCTTTCTTTCTCTCTTTCTCTTATTATCTTTCTTTATTCTTTCTTTCTTTCTTTCTCTCTTTCTCTTATTATCTTTCTTTGTTCTTTCTTTCTCTCTTTCTCTTATTATCTTTCTTTGTTCTTTCTTTTCTTTCTTTCTCTTTTTCTTATTATCTTTCTTTGTTCTTTCTTTCTTTCTCTCTTTCTCTTATTATCTTTCTTTATTCTTTCTTTCTTTCTCTCTTTCTCTTATTATCTTTCTTTATTCTTTCTTTCTTTCTTTCTCTCTTTCTCTTATTATCTTTCTTTGTTCTTTCTTTCTCTCTTTCTCTTATTATCTTTCTTTGTTCTTTCTTTCTTTCTCTCTTTCTCTTATTATCTTTCTTTGTTCTTTCTTTCTTTCTCTCTTTCTCTTATTATCTTTCTTTATTCTTTCTTTCTTTCTTTCTCTCTTTCTCTTATCTTTCTTTTCTTTCTTTTTCTTTCTCTCTTTCTCTTATTCTCTTTCTTTTGTTCTTTCTTTCTTTCTCTCTTTCTCTTATTATCTTTCTTTGTTCTTTTCTTTCTTTCTCTCTTTCTTTTTCTTATCTTTCTTTATTCTTTCTTTCTTTTCTCTTTCTCTTATTATCTTTCTTTTCTTTCTTTCTTTCTCTCTTTCTCTTATTATCTTTATCTTTGTTCTTTCTTTCTTTCTCTCTTTCTCTTATTATCTTTCTTTGTTCTTTCTTTCTTTCTCTCTTTCTCTTATTATCTTTCTTTATTCTTTCTTTCTTTCTTTCTCTCTTTCTCTTATTATCTTTCTTTGTTATTTCTTTCTTTCTTTCTTTCTCTCTTTCTCTTATTATCTTTCTTTGTTCTTTCTTTCTTTCTCTCTTTCTCTTATTATCTTTCTTTATTCTTTCTTTCTTTCTCTTTTTCTTATTATCTTTCTTTATTCTTTCTTTCTTTTCTTTCTCTTTTCTCTTATTATCTTTCTTTGTTCTTTCTTTCTTTTCTTTCTTTCTTTTCTCTCTTCTCTTATTATCTTTCTTTGTTCTTTCTTTCTTTCTCTCTTTTTCTTATTATCTTTCTTTGTTCTTTCTTTCTTTCTCTCTTTCTCTTATTATCTTTCTTTATTCTTTCTTTCTCTCTTTCTCTTATTATCTTTCTTTATTCTTTCTTTCTTTCTTTCTCTCTTTCTCTTATTATCTTTCTTTATTCTTTCTTTCTTTCTTTCTCTCTTTCTCTTATTATCTTTCTTTGTTCTTTCTTTCTCTCTTTCTCTTATTATCTTTCTTTGTTCTTTCTTTCTTTCTCTCTTTCTCTTATTCTCTTTCTTTGTTCTTTCTTTCTTTCTCTTATTATCTTTCTTTGTTCTTTCTTTCTTTCTCTCTTTCTCTTATTATCTTTCTTTATTCTTTCTTTCTTTCTCTCTTTCTCTTATTATCTTTCTTTGTTATTTCTTTCTTTCTTTCTTTCTCTCTTTCTCTTATTATCTTTCTTTGTTCTTTCTTTCTTTCTCTCTTTCTCTTATTATCTTTCTTTGTTCTTTCTTTCTTTCTCTCTTTCTCTTATTATCTTTCTTTATTCTTTCTTTCTTTCTTTCTCTCTTTCTCTTATTATCTTTCTTTGTTCTTTCTTTCTTTCTCTCTTTCTCTTATTATCTTTCTTTGTTCTTTCTTTCTCTCTTTCTCTTATTATCTTTCTTTATTCTTTCTTTCTTTCTCTCTTTCTCTTATTATCTTTCTTTATTCTTTCTTTCTTTCTTTCTCTCTTTCTCTTATTATCTTTCTTTGTTCTTTCTTTCTTTCTCTCTTTCTCTTATTATCTTTCTTTGTTCTTTCTTTCTTTCTTTCTCTCTTTCTCTTATTATCTTTCTTTGTTCTTTCTTTCTCTCTTTCTCTTATTATCTTTCTTTGTTCTTTCTTTCTTTCTTTCTCTCTTTCTCTTATTATCTTTCTTTGTTCTTTCTTTCTTTCTCTCTTTCTCTTATTATCTTTCTTTGTTCTTTCTTTCTTTCTCTCTTTCTCTTATTATCTTTCTTTGTTCTTTCTTTCGTTCTCTCTTTCTCTTATTATCTTTCTTTGTTCTTTCTTTCTTTCTTTCTCTCTTTCTCTTATTATCTTTCTTTGTTCTTTCTTTCTTTCTCTCTTTCTCTTATTATCTTTCTTTATTCTTTCTTTTAAGTTATATTTGTCATTACGTCTTTCTGTCTTTTTGCTGCTTTCATGTAATTTTCCTCTGCTTTTTGACCATATTCTTTCTTTTGTTCCATCATTTACTCCTTTCTGTCTTTTATTCTCTCAATTTATTTCCACTTTTACTCTTTCTGCATTTTCCTTACACTTTCTTTCTTTTTGTTTTTTCATTATTTTTTTTTTACGCCATTTTTTTCTTTCTTTTATTCTTTCACTTTATTTCCACTTTTTTCTTTTTTTCTTTCTTTATTTCTCTCAATCTTTCTTTTTTGTCATTTTCTTTCTTTTTTTTTCTTTTCGTAACTTTCTTTCTTTCCCTTTATATCCACTTTTTCTTTTCTCTTTCTATATTTCTCTCACACTTTCTTTCTTTCTTGTCATTTTCTTTCATTTTTCTTTTTATCATTTTCTTTCTTTCTTTCTTTCTTTCTTTCTTTCTTTCTTCCTGTATTTCTTTCTTTCCCTGATTCGATTGTTCATTTACTTTTCTTCCTTTTCAAAGAATTTCTATATTTGTGTCCGTACCCGTGCTTTCTTGTTTACTTGTATGGGTGAAGAGGAGATTGTGCGTTTCTTCATGAGGGTGTATATACAGCGTGCGGCGATAATACCTCCCATATAATGGGTAAAATGTTAGCGAGATAGGAAACTTATTTAGCAGGACCTCCGCTCACACAGGCAATATGGCTTCGTTTTCCGCATGTCTACCACTGATGTGTTAACGGCCATCAGTGAATATTTATATCAACCTCGTATTACAAGCGGCGAAGCTCTAGCTGTGGCTTTAGATATCTCGAAGTCGTTTGACAGGGTTTTGCACGTTGGTCGTCTACGCAAATTCCAGGGCTACGGTAACAGGACGAGAGCTTGTTTTAATCAACTTGTGAAATGAAAGTCGTTTTGAAACGGCTCGCTTCCAAATCATTTCACAGGAACGTGGGTGAGTCCCTGGCTCTATCCAATGTCATATACTGTTTCTGATCAGTTCCCATGTAGATATTTATGCAGATGTAACTACCATTTACTCTAGTCTCAAGAGTAAATCCATCAGAGCTCACAAAGTAAACTTGGCTGCTGCTCTTGAAATGATCTCCAATCAGTGGTTAAATGAGGTATTTTTTTTTGTTAAAATTTTAACGTCTCCAAAAGAAAACTGCCGTAAATTAACAACCACAGAGAATTTTTCTGTCTGCCATCAGCATGGCTGACGCTAGACGCCCTGGAGAGCAACACACTGTGCCTTCTTAGCCTCAAGTTTGCAACTGTCTGGACGTGGTGCGACTACATCGAATCAATAGATACATCTACTGCAATGAATGTTGGGTCATTGTGTCGAGCCAGAAAACATTTCCATCAGAATCCATCTGGCGCATTTATAAATCTACCATTCGTCTGTACATTGATTACAGCCACCATATGTGAACAAACATAGAGATATTTTCCTGTCTGCCATCAGCATCGCTGACGCTAGAGGCCCTGGACAGCAACACACTGTGCCTTCTTGGTCTCAGGTTTGCAACTGTCTTGACGTGGCGCGACTAAATCAAATCAATAGATACATCTACTGCAATGAATGTTCGGTCATTTTGTCGAGCCAGAAAAACATTTCTCGTCAGAATCCATCTGAGCAATTTACAAATCTGCCATATGTGATCTGGTTCTCCGGCTATTCATCTCGAGATTCTTGACAAAATGCAAGAGGGATCTGTAATGAAATCAATCCTGACCTGAAATCTCGACTTGAGTCTCGTTCTCATCTATATGACGTGGCTTTCCGCTGTTTCTTTTCTGCTAATATTTCCATGGCAACTGCTCTGTGGAGCTTTTCCACCTAGTGAGCTGAATAAACGAATTTCAGCGTTGCTGTTAGATTGGCGTATAGGTTCCAACCGTTTAAGGTTGAAAGAGGTACATGAAACCCGCCATTTCTACTTCAAACTTTTCTTTGCTCGTACAACTTCCACCTATCTTGCTTCCCTGATAACTACATTGTTCAAAATTTCAATGCAACATCAATCGCCATCGTCTATCTTCTTGAATCCCGTTCATCTTTTGTCTTTTTCTCAATCCCCCAATTCTCATTTTTTTTCTCTCAATTTCACACCCTATAACCTCCTGCGATCTAGTAGTATTCCCACCTTGCTTGGGGTGAAAGGTTGACCAAAAATATTTATGCGGACATTATTGAATACGACTGGAAAGAAACATTTTTTAAAAGAATTTCTAGTTTTTGATGGTTCTAATTATTTTGTTCTTTCTCCTGTTTTTCTCTTGGAGATAATGTGTCAGGAGAAGATGTGATGTTGTTTATGAGTTTTGATAAAATCATATTTTTTCTTGTTTGAATCTGCTTAATCATGTTTGAATAATATATATTTGTATAGAAATCGAATCATTTATTCATGTGTTATTGACATCAAGTGGCATGAAATATTTTGCTAATTCCGGATGTGTCTTTTCTCGCTTTCGAATCATATTTTTAAAAAATAATTTTATACACACACACACACACACACACACACACACACACACACACATTTAATTCGTAAAAAGGATTCGAAAGAAGTAAATCTATATATTTGCACGTTTTATTGAAATTTTATTTAAGTTTCTACATGCCCTCCATCATTAGCAATACATAGGGTAATACAAGTATTTGTTGCTAACATTCTTTTTTCATTCAGCTTTTCCAGTTACGAGTCCTTTTTTAAAGCTGATCGTTTTGTGTTCATTTTGTTTAGTTCTTTTTTTCGTAACAGATTTAATGTTTAGTATAGAGCTTAGAAAAAATTCGCAGTGTGAGTAAGGTGTGTGTGTGTGTGTGTGTACAGGGTGTCCATAAATTTCGTGTGCACTTATTTTATTTAAGTTTCCACATGTCGTCCATCATTAGCAATACAAAGGGTAATACGATTGTGCAGTTCACTGAAAACATTTGCCAACTGATTTACAGTAATGCCTGAAATAACATGTTAAAAACTATACTTATATATATATATATATATATATATATATATATATATATATATATATATATATCGTAATGAAACGACATGTTTCTTCAGGAAAATCTTCCAAATCAGTTATGAAGCGAAAATAACATAATCGTCCGAACGCGTTATGCACTTCTGTGACACATATGGATATATGTGTGTTAAATCAAAGTTTTCTTTCTTATATATGTACCAGTTGTCATTATGCCTTACTTAGTTAAGTTTAGTATATAGACAAATCAAATGAAAGCGCAAAGGTGACAACATTTGAAATTTTCCAGGCATTTTTTTTTAATACGAAAATCTAAAGGTTGATCAGTCATTTGAAACAGGTTTTTGGTCACAAAATTTTGCACACACCTAAACTTCACTGACTTCTCATTCTCTTTCACTCTCTGTACACCTTTACGTCTTAGTGGCATTATCGCCTTGCTTGGAATGAATTGATAAGAAAAGATCTACCGGTGTCACTTTGGTTATAATTTTGGTATGGTCAACATATACCTGTTTGCATTTTCTGTTTTTTGGGGGCTCCTAACGCAATTATAGAAACGCAAAGAACATTTGATTTTTGGGCATAATTTTGTCAGTTTCCTTTATTAGATCGCTGAGGATGAAAAATAAAACTTCGTCTTTTATCCATAAAAATGACAACTAGTTTATCCTGCTATATTCCATTACTGATGCAACGAATTTCCAACGTTTTTCCCCCTATTTTCAGCCAAAAAACGCCTCTTACTTGTTCCTTTTCTCATGGTCTTTCATTCTTTCATTTGTTATGCTTTGATACAAACCTATACTTAGTCTTTTTTACTTACCTGAATAGCACGGAATTTGACAAGTGCGAAATTACCGTCAAAACCTCAAAGAAGTTGATTGGCAAAGATGTGATTTTTATTGAATTCCTTTAATTCTTTCTTAAGACATCTGTTTCACGGTGAGTCTATATTATCCGAGATTAATATGCAACAAGACAAAAATATAGATTTTTCAGTGATGTCCGAGGTCGTAAAGAATGCTAACTTTAGAGATTTCTTCCTAAAAATCTATTCTGCACTCTCAGACTCTGGGCATCAGCATTTACTTGACTTAACATAATGCTAATGGGTCACCCAATGAGTATCGAACATCTACGTATAGAAAAGTTAAGGTGTATATTCGTTTTTCTTTAAGCATTTCATCCCACGTGACGAAAATTCACACAAATGAAAGGGTTTGAGGAGAGTGAATGAAACAGAAATAATAATGATTTAGTGATACAAGTTTTACTAATTCGCCCATAGCGTTCAGAAGAGAGGGGATCGTACCTTTTCTAAGAATATTTTCGCGTAAGTGAATATAAAGAACCCGATTGGAATTGGAACTCTGCATTCTGATTAACAAATATGAGTCATTATCCATTTTACTACTCGCACATCCATGCTTATAGAACCTGGTATTCACTAACGGTCACCCATCTCGGTAGTGATCAGGTGTGACGTTGCTTAACTTCAGTGACTATACGTGAACTGGTGATTTATCGTGATCTGGCCGTAAGCCTCGATGTGAAAGAGAATAAACTATTGAAATAGAAGCTGCTTTTACGATTACTAAGTTAGCAATCTGTCAGTCTAGTCTTTTCTTTTTATGTGCTGTGTCCTTTCAGTTTGTAGGCGATCAAGCCTCTCCACTTCCCTATATCACTTGTAGCTCTCAATGTTTCGTGCCTCAGACAACTCCCCCCCCCCGAGACAGTTCTGCTATCGACTTGCTTATGCTCGCTAGGTATGCCATTCGTTGCTTTCTCTTGTCTCTTTTCTCCGACCTGTGAGTATCAGATTCTTCAAGCCCTCTTTTTCATTACTTGTCCCAGACATTTTATCTGCTTCTTCCTTATGTTAATTATAAGCTTCCTCTTTGCAATCTTCTCCAAGAATCTATCGTTGATCACAACGCTCGCTACATAATATCCTTAACATCCTTCTGTAGAGCGACATCTCCGCTGCCTCGATTCTGTTCTTCATCTTTACGGAAATCGTCCAATATTCACTGCCGTATAGGAGGACAGATGTCACGTAGCATCACAGTATTCTTTTCTTTGTTACCAAAGAAACGCCCCTGTCTGGCAGTACTCTGCCCAGCTTTTGGAATGCATCCTTGGCTATCCTGATACGTCTTCGGATCTCAGGGTCTTACCTACCGTCCTCCGTCACAACACTTCCCAGATATTTAAATTTCCACACGTATGATTTTAGTGTACCTGACCTGCAAATCGCATTTCAGGCTGATCCTTTTATTGATGATCATGCGTTCTGTCTTCTTGTAGTTTTTGGTTACCGTCTGTCGAAGGTTTTGTAGTTTCTTTTCCGAGTCTTCTATCAGTCTAGTACGGCTCTTAAATTCATGAAGTTGAGGTACCAAATAGGACAGCAATATTTATTTTAATAGAATACAAATATGTGACACAAGACGAAAAGGGGCGATAGGGGGGGGAAGGCTGGTCATTAAACTGTCTTATCTTAAACTTAGCTTGTCACAATTACTGACCCAAACATACCCCAGTATTCCTTACACCAAAACAACACATCCTTACTTACAATTCTTACTACAGCCACCATAATACTTCGAGGTCTTTATGAAGTCCTAACTAGTTTTCATATGTGCAATTTGACTGTGATGAGGTGGGGGAAAAAAGAGGAAAGCTGTTGTGGATTCCGGGATGAAATCCGGTCTCAAAATGAATGACAAACGCAGGAATGAAATATAGCAAATAAATGCATTGACGTAATAATTCAATAGGTAATACGGTTAGTAGATCCAGAAATGCGGTTAGTAGCAATAATAATATATATACAGTCTCGAAAATTCAGTATCGAAGTATGACTTCCTTCTGAGTCTACGTGCTTGCAACTGTGACTCCTACAAAGCGGTTACATCGCACTCTCACTCTATCACTGTATTACTGTCACTCTTCCGGATATTGACCGACAGCAGTACAAGTACACCCTGGGCGAGTCCACTTGTATAAATAGGGGTGGGCCCCTTAACAAAAGCCCATGAGATAAATTTCCGTGAAAATTTATATAGAAAAATCCGTGGGTAGCTACGTTACGACGGTTCAAATGTGACTGAAGCTGAGATAAAAGGTCAGGAATGATAACATTGCAAATACTTTTGTGTATTTTATCTGAATATCTAGATATGCCGTAGAGGCAGAATATATCAGGAATGATATTGTAGATATTTGTTAACCATAACACGATATGGTGCAACAATGATTTACAACAGGCACCCGGGGATGATCGAAATCGATGACTACTAGCATTTAATCTGAAATGCAGTGTTATTTTTTTCCGGGGACAATACCCTCGGCGTGTCTTTTTTCTTCATGACACCGACATTTTGCATACGTTATAAATTAGGTCCAAATCTGACTGCGCAAAAAAACTTAGAATTTTCGTAAAATACACACACAGGGAAAGCCCATGAGGGATAATGAATAGGAAATTAAACCTGTAAACGATTACTACCGTTGTTAGTCCAACTCCACATAACGCAATTATGTCAACGTACGCGAGGATAAACTCGGCTAAAATTTTGAAATATTGATGATAATTTTTCAAAGTCTATTTTAACAGAAAAGTTATATTTCGAACGTCTCAGCATTCAGAGTAGAAACGTTCGGTTATTACCCGGTTCACACTCCTGCGCGATCTTTTGAACAGCAGTAGATGTTTATCCATTGTTTCATGTTTAGGATTGAGTTTCAGGTTCCTTCTAAATTCTAGTTGAATTCTATAATTCTTGCCTTTTCGCCTAAACTCTGAAATTGTATTACTATATATTTTTTATTTTATTGTTTCATTCAAAGGATTAGATACGTTCGCCTTTCGCCTTGTTCACGCTCCTCCTCGGACTTTTGAACAAGAATAGAGATTCATCTATTTCTCATCTTCACTAATGGGTTTCCGGTTCCTTCCAAAGTCTACTTCAAATTTATACTTCTAACGTCTCCACCTAAATCATGAAATTTTGATTACTATTTATTTTCTTATTTCTATTTATTTATTTTCCTTCAGTAGTTGTAGATAGGTGCGCCTAGCGTACGATACAAACTCCTCACCGGTCTTTTGAACAAGGATTAGAGATTGATCCATTGTTTCCTGTTGAGGAGGGAGTTTCTTGTTCATTTATATTCTACTTCATCTCTATACTTCTAAAGCCTCCTTCTTAAACCCTGAACTTTTATTTACTATTTATTTGCATTTGTTTCCCAATAGAACGAGATAGGTTGGCCTACCGTCCGGTTCACAGTCCGGCCCGGTCATTTTAACTGGTGTAGAGGGTCATCGCTTATTAAATCTTGACCTATTCAAGTCTAGAATTAGCTGCCTATCATTTCTGTTATCATGCTCTTTCTTACGCTAATACAACTCCACACAGTAAACCTCTAGAGTCGGCCATGGGGCTTGTATTGCTGAACATATATATATATATATATATATATATATATATATATATATATATATATATATATATTTCGCTTGAAGATGGAACAGAGCTTACTTTAACTCAATTTAATTCAAATAATTATATTGAAGTTTTCGGCTCTTGTTTTGAAACATGAGACCTCTTATGTCATGAATTGGTATCATATTTTTTAAATAAATAATTATATTTATGCTCTACTTTTGTATCGAGCACTATTTTTTAAAAATAATAACTAAAATACTAAGGAACTTTGGATTATTTACCTAACCAGTTCCTTCCTATTTTCATATATATATATATATATATATATATATATATATATATATATATATATATATATATATATATCATAATTAAGTAAATCATCTAGTCTAGAAGAAAGCTCAACAGAATGCACTGGACGGCCGTTTCGTTTTATCTTTAGGACTCATCAGTAGTACTCATTTCCTACCGAGAATATCGCCCAGTTCATATTCCTCTTCCATCTTTTGCTTCCGTTTTAGGATTGCATTTCCGGTTCCTTCTAAAGTCTCCGCCTAAATTATGAAATTGTGTTTCCTATTTATTTTCTTATTTCTATTTATTTATTTTCCTTCAATAGTAGTAGAGAGGTAGTACAACTGGCGTACGGTTCAAACTCCTCACCGGCCTTTTGAACAAGTCTAGAGGTTAATCCATTGTTTCCTGTTGAAGCCGGAGTTTCTTGTTCCTTGAAAGTCTACTTCAACTCTATACTTCTAACGTCCCCGCCTAAAGTCTGAAATTTTATTTACTATTCATTATTTTTCATCAGTAGGAGTAGATAGATTCGCCTATTCTCCGGTTCACCCTCCTCCTCGTCTTTTGAACAGAAGTAGAGGTCTATTCTTTGTTTCTTATTCAGGATTGGGGTTCTGAAATCCTTCTAACGATTTCTTTCGCTCACATCTAGGACGTATGACTACAATAAAAGAGTCAGAAATCAGTGCCATTTCAGTACATTATCATCTTTTAATTTTTCTAATAAAAAGTGAAATCAAATTTATTGGTCCGAAAATTTATTGAAAGTGCTATCACAATTCCTGTAAAATTGTACTGTATTATTAACGAAAGGAAATACCGGGTGAATCAAATTTATTGTCAATAAATTTTATTCTGGTAGTAATTGTTTTGTGATGACCCCAATAAACTGGGCTTATCACTGATGATGTCACAAGACATTGAATTCAGCCACAGTATCACATCAAAGAAGGCAGGTGAATGATAATGCTGACCTGAAAATTAACCTCCTAAACACCAGGTGCAAATCTACATCTCACAGAATGCCAATGTCTACCTACGATATTCAAACACTTGATCGATCTAGCTGCGCTTTGAATGTGCATGGGTTAGAACAATGAGTATGTCAGACGTATAAACGCCCACCTGAGAGTGAAAGAGAGGAGAAACTATTGAATCCTTA